CGTCGCTCCTTCCTGCGAACTTCGCGAAGTTGTGGGCTCGAATCCTCATGGGAGTATTATTTTTTCTCGCTTTACCCTAGTGAAAAAAGTCATTTGTATGAGAAATTTCTTGTGTCCAATAAACACATATGAATCATATAAGATATATAAGAACATATACGAACCATATAAGAATTGTATAAGAACTGTATAAGAACTGTATAAGATATGTAAGAATCGTATATGTGGTGATTGTATGTTCTTATATATCTTATATAGTTATTATTGCGTTCTTATATAGATCTGAAATGGTTGACATATGTTCTTATATATCTTGTATGATTCATATGCGTTTATTGGTCACAGAAATTTCTCATACAAATGAGAATTTTCAATAGGGTAGTTCATGTTTTGTTATAATTCTGATCCATAATAAGGTTCCACATTCGCATTTCATGATGAATCCGTGCCGCGGCGGGACGGCTAGCATTTGGGGTGTTTATCAAACGACAGAAGGCCCGGGTATGTCTGAAACCGAAACTGTATCCCAATCACGTGATGTATTGGCGTCCAACTTATACGCGAGTTCCAATAATGTCTCAATGTTTTTACTCCTTGCAATTTATTATTTGAAGATTATGTACAGTTGAAGGTCTGTTAACTATTTTACCATGTTACCATGACGTTTTCTCGCTCATGTTTCGCCGTGATACTGAGGAATTAACGCTTTGTGGTTTAGCGAATGTATCTTTGTTGCAAGAGTTTTGTTTGTTCCAGATATTTAAGAGTTTATTGCGAACGAGCACTGGTGGATATAGCCTTGTAATTAAAGCTTGCTTCTATTTACATTAGTAATGTCCAAGATCCTTACCCGGGAAATTGTCCACGACGAACATATTTTGTTTTTCATATGCATTGTCCGACTTCTGAACGTCTATATTCAGCGATCCATATTCTCTGAAATAATGCACATTACAATATATTTTTTACGAAATGAGCTTCGCAAATATCGACAAAAATAATTGTTGTTGAAGCAGAACTGACTTGTGCATATTAACGAAAATATCAATAGAGGCTTTTTAAAACAAATACCCAATGTTACCAAAGGCAGGAGGTGACAAAGTGTACATACTTACTCTTTTGAGCCTCAAGTTACGTTGTGGAAGACGTACTTTGCCAATTTGCTGCTGTTGATAGTTTTGACCTTCGCTGCCATAAAAAAAAAATATATGATTTTTGTCAAAACCGGGGTTTTGTGGGTGATCGACCAGGTAAAATGCGCCACTAACCTTTCAAACAAGCTGAAAATTGTAAAGAGCATATCAGTTATAATTAATATTTAACGAAATCCGCCTCATGATCAATAACGCTGTTGCGCGCCAGTAAGTGTATTATTCCGAGAATCATGCTGACCACGCGAACACTAAGACAACTTACAAAAAAAAAAAAAAAAAGCAAAAAACGATATCGGCAGCAACTTTTTATTTGTGTTAATTATGTCTACCTTGTGGATGCTTACAAAAATGCATTTTAGATGAGAAAGGCAGATTTTCAAAATAAACTAAGATTGTTTTATTATTTTAAATGTTACGATTTACTTTATTACGCCTAAACGGGAAAGATTCTTGATACGAAATGATAGGGTACTTTTGTGCACACATTAGGAAATAATTTGTAACACGAATAACCACGGAGTTCCCGGGGATTAAATCACAGACTTAATGAGGTCAAGACAGAATCTACAGGTTCCTCAAAGCTCTGCTTGGAAACATAGTATGTTCAGTGTTAGCGAAAAAATGTACAATAGGCACACCAATATGGCAACCGCGGGCATACTTCTGAAATCTTGTCTCAGACGATATACAAGCATCATAATATAGCGGCGCCCACATGTCGTGCTTGTAATGATCTTAACTCTACTGCATATATATCAATATTAACAAATCAACACATGTCTCTAATTTTTATTATTCGTAAAAATGCGAAAAAAATTCATTTTTTTATATAACAAAAATATTTAAACTCTAGGCAATTTTTTGTCTATCATCTGCTGTGATGCATAGCGATTTTAGGGGCGGACGGCGCTGAAGTTGTAAGGTGCATGATCTAATACTGACTTGATATATATATATTAAAGCTACTTAGGATCGGCTTTTTTCTTTCTGGTGTCCTTACCACAAATTTGTTATAATGCACTTTGAGCGTAAGTTAAATCAGAGGCTCAGAACCTTTGACTGTCCGATCGACATGCTCAGACAAGAAAACTGAGCAAATACAAATCCGTAAAAATTTGTGTTCCAGAGAAACATATTTTGGTGACTAGAAAAAAAAAAAAAAAAAAACAGAGTTCGTCAATTGTGGTTGAACCGAAGTATAATGTCATTGCTGGACCCATGCACTCTCACTGAACACTACAACAATTTTCTAGACCTAGACCATTAAAGTAATTGTTCCTAGGCCATTACAATAACGGGTGGTTTGAACGTGATGAATAACCTGAGGCCGGGGTTTTTTAGAGTACAACACCAACGAAACGAAGGTGGGCAGTCTTTTTTGTTATCTGCTTCGTGGTGCATCATGTTTTGAGAAGGCGCAATAGCTATATTCTACAAAGAATCTTATGCCACTAGGGCTGTCAGAGGCCTGTAACGCGCACATTTCGACTGGCTGGAAGACATTTGAGAAAGTCAACCTTTGGCCCCACGTCAGAGATTAGAATACAAATATAAAACCTAATACCTTCCAAGCATCCGGAGTCTCCTCGAAATACTTTTCCATCTCGCCGGGGTCACAGTCGTCGGCTTGGCACTGTGTCATCAGTACCGTGAGTAAAACCAGAAGGAAGACAAGCATCAAAAAGAACTCCACTCATTTGACGAGGAATTTCGACAAAGTAAACAATATTTCGCCTAGCTATTTTTGTAATGCTCTTTTTGACTTCTTGATGCACACCCAAGAGAAGAGTGGATGCTTGCGCACACTCGACGTCACGACGTTACACCCCCGCAGAAGATATTCTGTTTATACTCAAAGTTCACATCCAACAAAAATATAACCTATTACTTGTGCGTGCTTGTGTTGCTGGCGGTTTTCCTCTGAAAAACTGCAGCTGTTGGATACGAAAAAAAAAAAATCAATCGAAGAAGGAGTGCTTTCTTTTCCGCTGCAAGGTATACACTACCTTTAAGCCAATAAACTATACATCAAATACATATTTGGTGAATACTTTGAGAGGACATACAATCCAAAAAAAAATGTTAGAGGGTCTGCGATATGGCATTTCTTTCAAAGAGCAATTTAGAAAAGAAAGAAGAAAATATAGATGCTAGTTTACTTTACAGTCACTGACAATGTTCGTGTAAACATACTTTTAAGGTACTTTTGCTCCAAGCAGAGGGGAATACCCTCTGAAAAATGTAATTGAGTTTAGGTTGTCGCGAAGCACCCGCAACAAATGGTGTGACACACCAACATAAAGGTACGGTGCGCCGCGTCACGCCTGCTTATGACGCGATCGTGTGCAAAATTTAAGGTCACCATCACATGGCTCACTTGCGTTGCAGGCTGAAGTTATGTTTTCGATCTTCTCATTCGCCGTCTCCGCTATTATAGGTTGCGGTGATGGGCTCATCGGGTACCTTGTGGGAAAGCAAGCGCCGAAATATTTAGTAGTAATTATAACCGCTGGCAGCTAACAAAAAAAAAAAAAAGGATGGGGCGAGCTTTGAGCTGACTTGGGCGTAATACGTTACTCTATTACACCTCGTCGATTACATTTCGTATCCCAGATTAAGAGTACTCGAAAGTATCGCCATAATTCCCGTGTTCTTGGCCTGCTCTCGAGGGTGAGTCAATTTCGCTCAGTGTGCTTCTCACTGCGCTCTCGTGCACTGCAGCGAAGCGACAATCGCGGAGTTATCATCGCGATTTTGCGGGTCTTGCTTCGCCGCAGCGCACCCGCCTGCTTAAGGGAAATCACTACCCCAGAAAGAGACGGGACACAATTTCTTAATACGACTTCGGCTCGTATGCTTGACTGAGATATCCTGGCACTAGCTTTTTTCCAATTCGAGATTTAGGAAGGATATTTTGGTATTGCAAGAATATTTTCACGCGCTCTTTCCTAGTATTTGTTTTTCTTGTGCTAGCCCATTTATTCCGTTATAGCTTTTATACAGATGTTGTACACGTTAGAACTAAATTGGCTGGACCAGTGAATGGAAGGTTGGGAAGAAACTTAAAGAGTTTGGTGAGAGTGTTTTTAACGAGGCCTATTGATCATTCACATGCCCATTATTGTTCTGAAGTTCTACATATGAAATGTAATTGACGTTAATTATCACATAACAATCAGTGATGTGGTTTTATCTTAATTATAAATTGCAGCTTTATTGCAACCTCTAGAATTTAAAGGAAACAGTATTTTGTGGTTAAAATAGTGTCTTCTAAGATTTTTTTAGTGGGATTCAGTATCTAGTATAACGGTTGAGAGCATTTGGTCTGTCCTTCGTTACTGGTCATCATGATACCATCTGGTCCGTCCTGCACAACGAAACGCTAGTTTTTTTCTTGAGGACATCGCTACTGCGGCACAATATATGCTAACAAAGGGTTGCACGCAAGTGAGAAGGCAAAAGTAGACATTGCCGTTTAGTTGGGCATGCAGGCCCATACATTAATCATAACATAATACTTGCAGTGGTATTAATTAAAAAAAATGCGCTCATGCTCCAAAAGTTTCTTTCTTTTGCTGTTCAAAAATTAATTTTTGGCTGATTCAAGAGCTGGTTCCAAATGAATCAAGACCGATCACATCGCTGCAATGCCCACCGGAAGCCAACCACTTGATCCTGAAGCTTTGCTCCTCGATTATTGCGTGACTTTGTTTTGCCTAACATGGGCGTTATATTTCCCTCGGATGTTTTCATGTTTCATTAGCAACAAAGTAAGGATTTAGAAATAACAAGATCAACCAAATAATATTAAGAAAGCAATTGATACGACCTACACAACGAGCCCATTTATTTATTTGTTTCCTTTAGCCGTTGAGGACACTCTCTCCAGTCATATGAAACCCGTCTAGGCTTGTCCGTGGCCAGGTCGTACACAAGAGCGCATATCCAAGGAATTTCTCGGACATCCTCTAAATGAGTTTTGGACACCCACATCTGAATACCTGAAATGTATGAGCAAGTGATATGAATACGTTGTTACGGTATCAGAGGAAAGGAAAATCCTAAAGGGGTATGAAAAGAACAAAAAAAAAAACCAATGTCTAGCAAAAGCAATTGTAAACCCAAGTGATAGGCCCTGCATTGTATTTTTAAACGTTCTGGCGTTAATTAAAATTATCCGAGACATTCCGCGCTTGCCCGTACTGTACTACCAATTTTCTCGGGATGGCCATAAGATGTTGCGCATGCTCAAGCTGGTCTGCATTCGCTTGAGGTTACTTAGTGTTCAGCGAATATTCATTAAACTATATTCAAATGGCTTACCCAAACGCTTCGATTTTAGGACAGCACAAGTAATATAATCTGTATACAGCAGCTGAATTTCGCGCCATGCATACTCCTCACCTGCAATGAAAAGGTGGATTGTATTCAATGAACCTGTATCATGGCAAGTGCCTTTAATCTTCGTATCTCATTCAGTCAAGATAAATGCATCCCGAATATCGCTTTGCTAATTTCTACATGGCATAATGTGTGCATAAGCTGTTTGGAATAGGTTTTATTGCTTGCGACGCTCTAGTAACGGGCTTGTAGTATTTTATTGAGAATCATAAATTGTTGTAAACTTAAATAAGGAGCAGTGTACTGAAAGGCGTTCCATTGTGGAAAGTAAAACTTTTCGTAAAAAAACAATTAACCAACTTTTTTTTATTAGCTATGAATATCTCTTTCCTTGAGTAAGTAAGTAAGTAATATTTATTTTCAGCAATATTGTGCTGAGGGTACCAGACAAAAAGCTTCCACGTCTCATGAGATAGCTTGTCCGGGTCTGTTGCCCCTGCACTTACAGGGCATGGTAAAAGCAACAACTACTATACACTAGACTTTGTCTTAACAAAACAAACGCGTACATCCTTTTTTGTTAAACAGTGAATATCATTGTGGTCTAAAATGAATTTGTTAAGTAATGTAGGCAGGTTAGGCGCAATAGATGGCAGTGCATAATTTGTACGAAAATGAGGCATATCCCAGAACTCTCTGCGTCTGACAAGGATGGAAGATTCACGGTTTGTGAGTTGGGATATATTAGACAAAAAAGAAATAAACTCGTGGGTCTAAAATAAATAAGAACATAGCAAACGGCCCTCGTATACACCAAAAATTCTCCCGACATTGAATTAAAAAAAAAAATATAGGTTCCGTATGAGGGTCTTAAGGAACGTTAGGAATAAAACGCAGCATTTTTTTTGTAGGATCGTGAGGTCGTCAATATTAGATTTAATGGTTGTGCCCCAAACCAAATGACAATAGTTAATTTGTGAGCTAAACAGAGCTTAATAAGTTTGCTTTTTAATGTGTACAGGCAACAAGGAGCGACAGTGACATACTATTCCAACAACTTTTGAAAGTTTCCTAAGTATTCGCTGTTATTGTTCGATTTTATATGTTTTGAAAAAATTACACCTAGCGTTTTGTGCTGTCTAACTATTCGAATCTGGTCGGTGCCAATCTCTGGAGCATAATTACTAATATCGTGCTTATTTACAGGTCTAAGCAAAATTGCAGCATTGCTTTCCAACTATTGATTCAAATGCGTTACCTTGAGCAGGCATCACCGCAAAACCAATCATGTCAGACTGTAGCATTTATGAGAGCCTGATTGAGATCTAAAATCACGTATGAATCTATAGTTTTATTATAAAAAATTTCGTAATTTGAAATATTTTACTTGAAGTTTTAAGATATTCGTCCCGTTATTATTTTGCTCAAACCCAGTTCTCTATCTCTCCTAAGTGGGCTGTCAATTTTATTATTACGTGTACAGCAATCTGCTGTATTGAAATAACTCCTGTCGACGGCAGGTGGAAAATTTTGCTACTTTGTCGGTTTGCTCCCTCGTGGTTCCAGAAAGGCAAATCAATACTGTTCAATCTCGGGCTTTATGAAGAGCAGTGAGATCTAGAAATTAGTAATAAGCACGTTTAGTAATACACGAAATATGAAATTATCCAGTTTAAAATAAATATTAATGTCGGTTAAAGTCACTTGAAAGAAATGACCTCAGGGTGCGAGGCCGGTGTACCACTTTCCATAGTACCGTCACCGTGTCCAAAAATATAATTTGCGAAAAAATTGTTCAGCTTGGAGGCATGCAGCCTTCATTTGGTTTTGAGCCCAAGGATCAATGTGTAGTCGATAAAAATATACTTCATAAAGCATGCTACAGTTTTTCTGTAAGGGACAACAAGTTATGTTGGACACGCGAGTAAAAAAAATCGACTCTGAAAGAGCTAAAGAGGAAGGCGCACGCTTTCAATAGACACGTTTAAAACCCCAAAGCCACAACGACCTTAACAGGATTCATTCGACGTCGACGGAAAAACGTTTTTATTTAAAGTAATACAAAAAAGAACCAAACACAGAGATGTCGTTTATTAGGCTTGATATTCCCAGTAACATAATGTTTTCTGTGCGGAAAGCAGTTTTTCGCCATCTATAATGATGTATTCGCACGGCGAAGTTTTTCCCCGAAACGGTGATAAAACGTCACCGAGTTTTAGGTGACCTACTCCTCGTCACGAATGTTCGCTAACCCTCCGAGCTCGGGGGCAGCGGAGGAGAATCTTCGACCGGCCTACAGAACATCCGTAGTCTAGTCGAAGCGACAACCCCCCCCCCCCCCCCCCCTTTCGTTTGTGCACCTGCTTTTGGGAATGGTTTCTCCTTAGTGAAAAAAGTCATTTGTATGAAAAATTTCTTGCGTTTAATAAACACATATTAATCATACAAGATATACAAGAACATATGAGAACCGTAAAGAAGTATATAAGACCTATATAAGATATATAAGAACCATATAAGAAACTTATAAGAAACTTCTCACAGGTCTCTTATATGGCGCTTGTATGTTCTGATATATCTCATATGGTTCTTATATGTTATTATATAGCTTGTATGATTCATATGTGTTTATTGGACACAAAAATTTCTCATACAAATGACAATTTTGAATAGGGATGATAAAATACTTTAAAGTGTGGGGGGCCCTTCTAAAAAATATTTTCCTGCCTTTTGTTTGGTGATTCCTTAATGGTCACCAGAAGGTTCGCGAAAAGAAGCACTCCAACCACTCAACTATATGTGACTCTGTCGCGCGAATGCTCGCTTGAATTTTCTGTAACGCCCCCTCTTTTTCCTGTCTTTTCGTTCTCGCAGCTCAATGACGTACTTGGTTTTCCGTGGACATAAAGATATATCTTGCGAATACTCCATAAACAGTTAGTTCAGTTGGAAGAAATGGAATTGAAGTGATTAAATTATCAGTAAGAATAAACAAGAAGTCGGACAAGATGAGACATCTTTCGACTCACAACAAATGTTTCATGACAGGCTGGTGGCGAAAGGACCCGAGGAGGAACAGGGAAGAAGGAGTCGGAGGAGGTGAGCGGTGGTGTGTTATCACAACCGGTCCTCACGAAGTGAAAGGGAGGAAAGGAGCAGAGAGGGAAAGAGAAATGGGGCCAAACAGGAAGGACAGAGGTTGGGGGAAATAGGTGGCGAGGGCAAGAGAGCGCGGTCACGTGGCGGCCTGGCTTTCCCCTTTCAGAGGGAGATGTCGCCTTTCTGCGGCCGCAGTTGGTGTCCCTGATGTCCCGCGCGGCCTCCGCCACGTGACCACGCTCTCTTGCCCTCGTCACCTATTTCCCCCAACCCCTGTCCTTCCTGTTTGACCCCATTTCCCTTTCCCTCTCTGCTCCTTTCCTCCCTTTCACTTCGTGAGGACCGGTTGTGATAACACACCACCGCTCACATCCTCCGACACCTTCTTCCCTGTTCCTCCTCGGGTCCTTTTGCCACCAGCCTCTCATGAAATATTTGTTGTTGCGAGTCGAAAGATGTTTCGTCTTGTCCGCCTTTTTGTTTATTCTTTCTGATAATTTAATCATCACCAACGCGCTCACCAGAACTTTAGTCGCAATTGATGTGGTTTGCTGTTATATTATTTTGGCTTTCGGTTACAACTTTTGAATAATATCTTGAGGCAGTTTGTATCGGAGACAAATAAACCTTCATCTTGAATTCTTTTTAAAGACAGGTGTAAAGTTACCAAAAGTATTTAACTTTCAGGTGCTTTTTCTCTTTCATATCAACTCCGACACCTCGTTATCTATCAGAATGTAGAATCGCAACATTTCCTGACGCGTTAGCGGAGAATCATGTTTTTTTTTATCTTCTTTTTCGAACCAAGTTCCTAGATAATCTTATTTTTGCTGTGAAAGTTCTTCCGTTTACATTTTGTACTGATGCCACTTGGTCAGACATAATGGGAGAAAAGGCGCGTGAGAGCGTAGCTCCTGCTGAGTTAAAGGGAGGTGCAACGATTTTCACACTATGGCCAATTAACTTCGGAAAGTAATCTGTGTCACCCATGGAACGAAAACCAGAAAACCGTGTTTTCGAGCGAGGGCTAGTTTTTATGTAAAAAAAAAAAAATGAAACAAATCGAAGGTCAAGTGCCTCTCAACTCTCAAGTCGCCTTTCGAGTTACTTACTCTGGGAGATCACGTGGTTTCTCCTTGGGCAGTCTCTTCAGAGACCCCAGCCGCTTCCTCCGCGATTGCCTACTTTTAAAGAATGGGCATCGTCGAAGGTCGCGGCGAGCGATCGACACAAAAGACCGTTCGCCACGGGGAGACGGCCGAGTGTAGCAGCGGAGGGAGACAGGCTTTCTTCACTTCCGCGTGTCCCCCAGAGTACGTCCCACATCAGTTCCGTTAACCACCACAAGCGGCTGCAGATCGGCAAATGTTTCGTTTTATTGTTTACGATTACGCACCGAAATAGCAGTTTTCCGGGGCAATTGGTGACGCGTTTTTTTTTTTTTGGGGGGGGGGGGGGGAAAGAATTGGCAATACAAATTGCCAATTCTTTCAACACTGAAATCGTTGCACTACCCCTTTAACGAGGTGTTTCTGGCCACCAGAAAGAGGGGCGGACTGACGTTATGTGCAAACATTGCATAGCTTTAGACCACGTCTATGCCTAATTTGCGCCAAACTGACGAAAATAAAAAAAAAGAAATATTAATTTGTTAAAAGTGCCGTATTTCGCATTATAATTTGCATGGTCTTTATATGTTCTTAATTTTCTTGGCAACAAAGATAATTGTCTCGATTTTTTATAGTGACACTCATTTCAATAAGCAATGTCGTGCACAGGGAACAGGTCTTTTTTTATTAAAGCATTCGACGTATCCGCTTCAGATGAAATCTTATCTAATAAAAAATTATTTTAACAGAAAACATACTTCAAAACTAAAATGTGGTAGGATGAATAATGGTCGACCAATGGGAAGACTAATTTTAACATTTTTGTAAAAACAATATTTTGTTAAAATATAAATTGGTGTGCTCCCTAGATTTTTTTTTTACTTGCGAGAAACATTAGCAAAGAAATAATCTCATTGGCTTTCACCCCAGATTCCACGTCGCAACCATTAAATATATCCTGGATGAATGGGCTTTTTCCAACCGGGCAAAAGTCCGTTGATGACGATCCCGCATGTGAATTGCTATAATATTAGTTACGAATAAAGAGAGAGACGCGAAAATCAAGGATTTAGTAAGCCTCGGGCGTCCTAAACTTACTCACCGGCACATGATTCTCGTGAATCTATGCGCAGCGAAAGTGAGGGAGAGGAGGAGACGAGAGTGCGGCAGGGACTTCCGAACGCCGAGCTCTGATTGGCGCGACTAGTGGGTAGACTCAAAGCTGGCCGCCTTTGTCTCCACTGCACTCGGCTAACGCGTTAGAACGCTGCGGAACGCAGGCTTGCGGCGTTTGGCTTTCGCAATTCGAACGCGTTCCACGAGTGCAGTTGAGGCAAAGGCAGCTAGCCTTAGGTCTACCCACTATGCGGAGAGCGAATCGTCTGCTTCTTGGGCAGGGGTTGTGTTGACGTCAGAACGACGCCGAGCTCCGATTGGCTTTGATTGAAAGGATTGTGGGTAGACCTCGAGGCTAGGTGCACCGAAGTCTACTTACTATTTCTTTCAATCAGCCAATGAGAGCTCGGCGTTCTTCTGACGTCATCCCAACCCATGTGCGAAAGGCGGACAAACTCGCGCTCCGCTTTCATTTGAATGGGAGCTCGGTGCTTTGACGTCCACGAACGCTTTCGTTTGCTCTCCCTCAGTTTCTCGGCGCGTTGCCTGTGGCGTATTGTGATCGTATGCAGACTCCTACCCTCGAAGTATTGCACAAGAAACATATTTGGGTTCTTGTAAGCAGCATCCTCCTTCTTGGTTTTCACCTCCTTAATTCCAGTCAGTCTATAAGATGAAGAAACAGCATGTAAACATTTCTTTATGGTTTTTACATACATAATTAGTCTTTTTATTGATTGTTGTACAGGAACAAGTTTTACGTTAGTGTTTTTGTAAACCTTTAAAGACCCAGGCCTGCTCATCTGGTGATGTCGCCTCCAAACCGAATCATTATTGGTTATACAAATTGTGAAGCTTTGTTCGAGGTAGAATATTTAAATGCTAAAGATCTAACATTTACAATTGTTGAAGTGCGTAAGAACAGCCAAACGAGCATGATGTAGACAAGTTTTTTTTTCTTCAAAGCACTCGCTTTCATCAAAATACGCGCAGTAAAAAATACTTCGGCTCCTTGCGCAATTTAGCCAACTTCCTCCCTTATATGGTGCATGAAAATATTTGCATGAACATGTCGACCTCTCGAATGCACCGTCAAGCACTCCAACAAGTATGTTAAATGCAAACAGAAGCCAATTGCAGTGAGCTGCGGAGGCCTATACATCGGACAAACTGGGAGATGCCTAAATGTTCGCCTCAGGGAGCTCCATTTAGAAGTCACCAAGGCATCATCGGACTCATTTCATCCCATAGTCGTGCATTCCCGTACTTGCAGGCTGCCATGATTGCACCCGAATCTTTGGAAACACCACTGTGCTTAAAACACACAGAGATAAGTGTTGGCGAGAAATCATTGAGGCGTTTAAGATCAAATACGCCGCGAACAATATTTCTGAGCCTTTTCTGATGTTATCGTCAAAAGAGCTGGAGTTCCTCGCGCCAGAGTTATCGAAAAGCCAGTTTTGATCAATTAATAACTTTTGCCTTCTTTTCCTTTCTTTTCCTCTTTTTTCCCCCGTTTTCAGGGACTAATTTCCTTTCTTTTCTCCTTCTCTTTCCTCTTTATTCAGGAATTAATTTCCTTTTTTCCTTTTTTCTTCTTCTTCTTCCTTTCCCCCTTATTCATGGGTTAATTTCCATAAATGTCCTATAGCTTTATTTTGGTATATTAAAAATATTTGAGCGATTATTTTATTTTAAACTTATGCATTTTAGTTTTCTCTTTTTTCGTTTAATTTTTCGTTCTCTTTCTTTCAATTCTTTGAAGTTCACCGTCGTAGTGTCAAGGGCATTTCATAAATGCTTGCTGCTCATTGAAAGAACTGTGTGTGTCTGTGTTCGTCCTTCATGTGTTATTCTTTCTGTGTATTGTGTAGTTTTCAACGCGCTCTGCTACGTGTACTTTATCTTATTTATAGTTAAATGATTTTGTCTCAAATGGAGGCTGAGAAAACAACTGATAAAATACTGCCAGCTATATATCGTTACAATTTTGGGGGCACAGAGGTTAGAATTTACAAGGCCTTCGTAACGAAGAAGTAGGAGCTTGTGAGGAAGCCTATTTTTGTTTTTAGTTTCTTAGATACATGCTAGCGCCATAAGCTAATAGCAACATCAGAGCAGAAGACAGAACGAATTACATACGCATTTCTAGTGACGTCAGGTTATCGGTCACATAGACGCTGAGAGCTAAAAGGAACCATGAAATGAATTTTCGGCTGGAATAAATTGTGATTTCACTAATCGTACATCCTTCAGTGTTCCGAAATAAAACTAGTATGCGAGCATAGAAAACATAACGCCTCCTTTTCGGTGTCAAAAATGGAAGCTATAGCGGAATATTTGGTATTTTCTTTCTTTCTAAAGCTCTCCGCCTTTTCACTGTGGTGCATCCGCGGTGCTTGAGCACGTCATCCGAACTTAGCTCACGCATCGGACACGGACCCTGCGTCACATCGACGTACGCGCTCGTCAACTGTCAATCCGTCGACGAATATTGGAGTTCGTTTTCATGGTCAACGAGTGCCATGACGGCAGCGGCACTTATCACTTGAGAATAACGAGTTCCCAGGTGCGCTTAAAACGCACGGTGGAAGCTTTGAGTCATCGGCTCCGGTGCCTAAGCACTTAACGACCACGTGATTTTTCATTTCAATTTTGAGTTGAGGATTAAAGCGAAAGAGGAAGATGTTGAAAAATCATGTCAAAAATCATCTTTAGGAAACACAAAGTGTGGTGATTTCTCAGCCAATGAGATTACGTCATTAACCGATAAAAATGCGGAAGAACGAGGAACATCTCAAGAAACATGAGCAGAGTACATGTTATGGTTATCAAGAATCCTATGCGCCAAACTAGCTGAATTTTGAAGGAGTTAATGAGTATAGACACAAGGTAGAAACATAAAGCGAACCTTTTGCCTTTTTGTGTAGTAATAAAGGAAAGAATCAAACACTTGATTTTCTTTTCTCGAGAAACATACTCACGTCACTGTCACATTTGGTGCGACTTTGTAGACAAAGTAACCGGTCTTTCTGCTTTCATCCAAAGTTGACTTGCGAACATTGAGGCATGGATAAGTAGCTTTGAAGTCCAAGTCTTCAGAGTGATAAACGAGATAAAATGTGCCGTTGAAGATTCTCATCAGCTGAAAAATACGACGTGTTAATTTTAATTAAACATTATTTTTAATTACTTTAGAAGAGATATATCTCACATATGCAACCCCTCTCAAATTACCAAAAGGTATAAGTACGGTAAATGGCAAAGTTAGAAAGTGGTACTAAAACTTCCAGCTGCTTCTGCGAAAAGAGGTACAACAATCGCTTAGCACAGACGGAACTGTACTGTACAAGGTGTCCTAGATAACTTGGACCAAACTTTAAAAAAAACGTTATACGGGAGTGACTCTAATTCAATAATGTTAGCAAGCGTCTTACAAAAGTTCACATATTTTTTTTGTTCCGTCTAGTTTCTTTAATTAGTTAAGAGTGGTTAGCTAACTTGTTAATTTTCGTTTAAGGGACAAGGCAGACATTGGAAATGTTCTGCGCTTATTTTAATTAGCCTTAAAAAAGAGACAACAAAATATAAACAAAAGTTCACGTGACAAGGATCTCAGACGAGATATGAAGGAACGAAGGCCATCTATATCACTGGTGCCCTGTTCAAGATAGGACTTTGAGAAAGCAGTTGCTCACGCCTATCCTCAGGGCCTACACCAACACGAAGCCCTGTCTCGGACAGTGTACCAGTGTCAAGGTGACCGTCCTTCCTTCAGAGCACACATGAGAGCGCTGTAAACGCGTTATCATTTTTTTTTTTTTTTTTACAGCGAAGTTGTTTATTCCTAGGTTTTCGTCGATTATTCCTGTGCTTGACCAAAAACCCAGAGCCATATATGTAGAGAGTTTGGCCATTCATTGGAAAGTACAGGAGACAAATCCGGAGGCACCATTGGCCGAAAGCCGGCTGGGCGTATTCCAGGGTGCATTCACAAATTCGAATGTGACCAACCAGAAGCCGGAAATATTACCCTGGCGGTGGTCGCGAGAAACAAACCTAATAAGTATACTGGAGTAACTCTCGGTGATTGGAAATATGGTGCCCGTGATGTTTCATTCACGGTCATCCAAAATCATGGTGGAAGAGTGCGACTAGCGGAACAATCGACATAATCCGCACGCCAGGCGCCGAGGGCCGAGGATCTACGATCCGAGCGGTCACACTCTGTCCGAGCAAAACAGAGTTGAACGGCACATTCGTTCCTTACATCTTACTGCATGGTCATAATTGAACCATCATATGCACCATATTTTTAATCATGAAAGGTTACTACATTTAAATCCTTGCACGCTCATTAAAACCATATTCTAATGATTAAAACTGTTTCTCGCTCCCACCGCTAGGGGACTCTTTTCGGCTTCTGGTTGGCCAAGAGAGCATGCCAACCCACTTTCTGCGTCTGGTGCACGCCCTGGCTCTGCCCGCGCCTCCCATTAACCACACTCTCTCAATACACGGCTCTCAAATACTCTACGCTCGCACCACCGCCGGCGCCGCAAGCGCACGTCTTCCCCGTATAAAAGATTAGAAATAATCTAAATAAAGGCGTTGAGGAACGCGCGTGCAAGATGCCGCTTGTTTTATGCTTTTGATTTAGAGCAGTCACTAGGTGATTCTCATTGCGATCTAAAATTTTATAAATCACACCTGAACGCTTAAACGAATAATTAAGTTACCTAATTATTCTAAATCCTTGAACGAACTAGGCTTAATAAAAACAAATTCATTTACTTTCCTAAAAGCACTGCTAACAAAATACAGTTGGTTTCACTCCATCAGAGAGATTCGTTTTCTTTTTTTAAAGTTTGGTGCAAAGTGATTTGGGTCACCTTGTATAATCGTTTACAAAAAAAAAAAAAAAAAAACTGCGTGAGGAAAGTTTTCATTACACTAATATCGATCCGGAGGTAAGGATATTACGGCACTGAGATTATGGCGGTTCTTCAGCAAACTGCTGAAGAACGCAGTGGGGAGCGAGAGGTGTGACCAAAATAATCCAGACCTTGCGTCTAAGCTGTAACCGACTAAAGGGGCTACTCACTCGACGCCATATTTGAGTGCACAGTTCACTGGTTATGCTCAGAACGAGCTCACACTCATGGGTCCCCAAGACCGGCAATCTCGATGGTGTGGAATGCAAAACTCCGAGGAAGCTTGCTGTTAGCACACGCTGAGCAGCTACGCACTCAGCTATTGCCGCTATTGCAGTTTCCAAAGAAGAATTTGGGTTGTCATATACTTTAGTCACAATAGGCGAATAAACGTTTTTCATAGGTGAAATTTTTATGTTGTACTGTACTTCTAATATATTTTATGTAAGTGTCATCAGATACAAAGCAAAACAAACTTTAATTAAGGTCTACTCTGACGGCGGAAAAATCAACGTTTACTTTTGTGTAACTATTGCTGAATTTTTTTTCCCATAGCAGCGATTCTGTTCAATATGGGTATTTCCGACATCTGACTAATATTACACTTAGGTGATTAGGCCTCGAACCACTGAAGGACAATGATGTTTTCATGTTTTGATAACTAGCAACTGCTTGTTTTTTCTACCAAGGTTAATTCACTGCATGGGCATCTCTAGCATGTAGCTTCGCTTATTTGACCAGAATTTGGTATTGCGACTGCTCGCATAAAACACATCGACGTGAATTACGTGCTGTATGCTTTTTCCCACTTACTGTATTGTGTTAATGAAGTATCCTGTCACACACAAAAAATTAGGAACTGAGGAATTATATTGCACTCATGTTTGTGTAAGTTTCCTTAGAAGTGTCCCTAGAAACTCTGGCCGCGATGATATCTTGTATATTTAAACAAATCTTTTATATTATATTTTTATAATTCAAACTTGATTTAAGGAATTGGCTGCCGATTCCAATCAATAATTGAAAATGACCCAAATGTAACCCCATTACCGAGTTTACACTCCAACTAAAAACAAACAAACAACAAAAGCCAAATAACCCAAACTACTAACTTGATCATGGCATGGGTAAGGTGAGGAAAAATATACTGATCAAAGGTATGCCGTACAAAATCGTCCCCGACAGAATTTTACACCGAAATTAATCTTAGAGGCTATGGTGGGTTTCGGCCACCCTTGCCACGTGTCGTGTGATTTTGCAGTCGCATGCATTACTTGCACGCGGCTGCTAGCGCTAGTAATAAACATTTATCGCGATGCTACAACCCACCCATCGGCTTCGCTAGCACTCTCGTGACACGCTCTCGGTACGCTCTCTCGTTTTACTTTCCTAAATTCTCGCATAAGCAAATAGTCAAGGCCAATCTCCATCCTGGCGCTAATTGCGTTTACGCCAACCACGGAATACGCATGTTGAAGTATACAGTGCGATGTACCAAGAGTTTCTACTTGGGGATCGGTGGCCGAGTGGGCTAGCGCACACCAGCTTGGAGCACGTGGAGCTAAAGCGCACGTTGCAGAACCTAGGAATTTTGGGTTGAATCCCCACCCCTGCCCGCTTCGATCTGGATGAGCATCGTACCGGCGTGCGATCGTGTATCACTACTGCGTGGTGCACCTTAGAGACCCCAGGCTAGCGGTTGTACTGCACTGGCTAAATTGCTCATCTACAGCGAGTGACTCGTCGCAACTTTGAAATGGCTGACACACTACACGCTGTATAAATATCCGCACAATCCCCCAATTATTCTACTTGAGGAGAGTTCATGTATTAAAGAACCAATGAAACTTGATCGTTACAAAGCAATTTACTGCATTAGGCAATTCTTGAGGGGCGGGTTGTTGTCGAGAGTCGCCGACGCAAGGTCTTTTATGTAATAACAGAATCTGTACCATGTATAAACGGGTTCTGAAAGGTCATAATAACCTTCGTAACTTTACAGTACAAAAGCCGGTTGCGACATTGAATAGGAGAGCCTGTTCCATTCACAATACATTATATGCGTTCAACGTTGCAAGACGGCATCGCATAAACATTTATGTGAACCAAATTAAAGATATTTCCGAGAGCATCTGGATATGTATAACAATTGATGGGATCTAAGTTTGATCGCCTCACCCGATCCAAGAACGGCATGACTGAGTCTTCCGTGAGCAGTGTTTGAAGTAACGTGTTACAAGTAACGACGTTACTTGTAACACTTTACTGTTTTTAGCAATACTCGTTACAGAAACTTTCTAATGAGTAAAGTTTTCGTTAGTATTTTACGGTATTGTTTTATAAAATACGTTACTCAATCGTTATTCGTAATATTTGATCTAAATTAATTATGTTTTCAAGGGTGAAAAACAAATTTTCCGTTAACTATAGGCAGAAAAGTACACAAATTCTATCTCAGTGCAGCGTCCTTTAAAAAAAGAAAGTTCAAATATTTCAACTTTCTATTCTCGGGCTGGAAACAAGTCATGGTTATTTGCAGCAAAATATAACAAAATAAGGCGATAAAAAAAAAAAACACTATATAATGTTGTCAATGTTCGTATCCGCTCTTTATCGCTGTGAAAAATTACTGATAGCTAAGGCAACGCGAAAGTAACGTTCGTTAATCTTTGAAAGTAAAGGTAACGGTATTTTGTTACGTTCGCAGGACGGCAATGAATCTCAGTAACTTTTTAACAGACTAAGAAGTAACGCTATTCAGTTACTTCGGTACCGGACACAATGCTCGGTGAGAATCACCTAAGAAAGACTGGTATGTTTCATGGACGCAATCCATGTGCTTAGTGTTTCTACTTTGACACGCCACGTACCCAACGCTGGTTCATGGTTCATTAGTTGGTCCTAACATCATTTTGAACAAGATATCTATATGGACACTTAATTACCTTCCAAGCGTTGGGTGGATGCAGCAAACGGTGCTCTACGCCTTTTGGGAAACATTTTTGGTCTTCTGTTTTACCGAACGAGCAACCAAGCGCTACGAATACGGTGCACCAAAAAAGAAACATCCTGTTCTTTCAGTTTGCACAGTTTGGCCTCTTCAACGTTTTGAAATGTGCAGCAGGCGTATGACGTTGAACGGAAGACATTTCGCCGCCTGAACGCCGATCCGGAAAAAGCACACTAAAACAATAAAAAGCGCTTTCGGTGAACAATTGACGTTCACCTGGCTTTGCGAGAAACCAGTGTGCTTCATGTCAAGGTGTTTCGCACAAAGCAGTGTTAAAAGAACACGCATAACAACAGATGGTGGGGAAACAGCCTTTGCGGGATATGTGATTCGAGTTGAGCGTTACATTGTAAACTCTGCTGCGCGTTAACCTTTACGCCGAGTATTCTTGAAGTCAATAATTTCAATCTACAGAGGGAGACCAGTCGTGATTCACGAACATTGCATTGCAGATGCTCACGTTGTCAGAGACACAAAAAAAACACACACAAAAAAAAAAAAACTGTTTTGTTTTGAACGAAACGTATTTTTATCCTTGTCATTCGCAGACCTTTCACCTTTGATTGCAGTGATTGGGATTACAATGTGATCTGTGGAAAAGCTGAACGAGGCTCAAACCGGCCACAAAATCTGAGTGAATATTATTTATGAAACCTAATTTGATGAGTAAATACGAACAATGATTTTTTCTGGACTAGTTTTTGTGGTGATACACTTTTCAGCGTTCCGTCTTTAGGAAAATGTCCGAGGTAACTTTCTTTTCTCCGCCATTTCGTATTCCGTGCTCAACAATTTTTTTAACTCTATTGGATTGAAAACAAACATATGTTTACTAATGCTAGCTCTTTATTATGGACGAAGTTAAAAATCATTATTAGTTAAAAAATCAATGTGAGCACGCAAAGGATGGCACCGAAGCAGCAAGAACACAAGAAATACAACAATCACGTGATCGCCAATAAATTTAATACCAGCATGGAAGTACCGACGGGAAGGAAGACAAACATCCAGAACATGCACGTCTTTCAGTCGACAGTATTTCACAATTTAAACAGTCTCAGGCATATCATAGGGCATATATATTTATGTTCGGTTTTGGTAAAATACCCAAAACCAGGAATCCAGTCGTGGAGTTTGCGCATAAAACACGTTCCTAAAAGTCAGCAACCTAAAATTGAAACATACACCAGTACCAGATTTCACCGAGAAATTTACATTCAACATTAAAAAATATATTAGCGCATGTCGACGACCGGAACGATGAAATTGCAACTTAGCGCAGCGGTTTCGCGAATACACCGAGTTCCAGAGTGATCGGGCAGTTCCCACTTCGGAAGGCTGTTATTTTTTTATATTTTGTTGTTTTTCTACATCGGGAATCTAATCTATAATCCCTGCGAGTTGAGCGTCATAAACACACTTATTGACGTAGAGTAGAGACTAAAAGATAAGATATCCCAGCACTCAATTAGCAAGAAAAAAATACCTCACGTGCAGAGACATGCCTGGCGTGCTAAAGACTGAGGCAGAGCAGCGGTGTTTCGATAACGAGTTTTGAGAACGGTTCCCACGCACTGCAAATATAGAACACGCCACCCAGTTTCTATCCTACTGATTTAGCTAAAGCCGATTTAGCTTGACTACAGCGCCGCGTGTCGCCTTTATGCCGGCCAGGAAATCGCTCGTTTGGGATAATCACTTTCAGCGCCGACTGTACATTGACCACAATGTTAGCCTAAGCCATAGCTTCCTATATTAAGAGGAAATACCGAAGCATGGAGGTCGACGCTTTTTTCGGATTTCACCTTAAAGGTGTACTGGTGCGAACATGATCGTACCGCAAATGTTAGTGCCCGACATGAGCGCATCTCAAAACACTAGTAGTTTTGATGAAAACCTTTCCATTTAAAAAAAAAAAGCAAAGAAACAAACAAACGAACAAAACAGGAATCGCCCGTTTGTGTTAAGAGTGCATACAACTCTGCGTTTCAATTATTGAGCCAAGCGCCTCTTTGTGTGGAACTTATTTTCCAGACGCCACTAAATTTACCGTAAAATTTAGATCTCTTTATCTGCCAGGTATACTTTGGTGGTAAGGATAGCGGTGTATTTATAGTATATTTTCGGGAAAAACAAAAACAAAGAAAAAACTGACATGATTTGCCTAAGATATCCTGTTCTATGAGAGCAGAAATTGAGGGTGAAAATGAGACGAGAACGTTCGGGGATGTCCTAACGCCGTGCCGAGCTCCGGTTTGAATTATTTAGACGTAAAGCTTTGTCTCCACTGCCCTCATCGAACCCGTCCGAATCCGGAAGCCAAACGTCGGACGCCGGCGTTCCGCGTTCTAAGGCGTTCGACGAGTTCAGCGGGGAGAAAGGCGGCAGCTTCTCGTCTTGGCCCTTATCATTCCAAGCTGAGCTCGGCGCCTCGACGTCCCCTCTCGCCTCCTCCTCCCCCTCAGTTCATGCCCGCATAGATCGCCTACAGGTCGGAATAGCACTGCCTCTCTGGCATTTCGAGTGACATTCGTATTAAAAGCACTTGTATCATAAAATCCGTGAGACGAGCGGGCCGGGATGCGATCTGATTCTCTATTCGCCCAAAGGTCTCGCGTATAAATGCCATTAGAAAAGCTCGCGAGATTGAAGTATATTTCAACAAAATAAATTGTACGGTTCAAGTTAGTTCCATGGGATACTTTATTCATAAAATTTCTCAAAGTGCTTTTTGTTTTTGTTTTGTTCCGAACCTTGATAATACTACATTAGTTACCGGTTAATTGTGTCCTGTTTTGGTTACCGATCGGGATGTGGTTAAACTTTAAATAAAGCAATATTGCGGTGAAGGTTACCAAAGATATTTGAATCTCTAACGATTTTGTATGAAGACTGCGAGTTGGTTTAGTTGGTGAGGATTCATACTGCGGATTACGCCTAAAGACGAGGACAAAAAGAAGTCTGGCACACAGGACAGGGCGTACCCTTCAACTGAAATTTCTTGGAATACAAAAAGATGTGTGACACACGAGCCCACTCGCCTCCCGCTGCTAAGCATCCCTTTCAGAGACGATTGCCCTAGCGGGCACCCAATTTTATGTCTTTTTGCCCTTTAAGAAAACTGGCACAATTAAGTTTCTTTGAAGCTTGCACTTTGCGCTTTAATCTCGGGCAGCGAAACAGACTGAAAGAGCTTGAAATGCTTTTCTATGGCTCGCCGGGACTTCTCCGCGAACAGTGCCTCTCCCACGACGACAAAGCCGCCCTGTTTGTCAGCAGTGAAAAGTCTTAGGCTATCCTCCTTAAAATGAGAAACCACATACTTCGTATTAACAGTTCTCTTGCACGTTCCCCAAATTGTGCACTAAGATATCCGCACCTTAGTCTTCTTGTTACTCAACATTGTCGTCCGGCTTCTTCGGGTTTTTAATCTAAGTGTATCATCTTACGGATGTGCAGTTTTTAAAATCTTTATATGTTCATTCTAATCAATTTCCGTTGAAAGTTGTGCTCTGTCCTGTGTTCCACAGTATGAACGATTTTCCGTTTTGATTACGATTCTGCTTCAGTCTCTGTCGATAAAGGCCCCAGTTATCATAAAATGAAAGGCAGCGTTGCATGGAGGCGACAAGAAAGTGAAAAAAAAGAAGGATGCACTTTTATTTTCATTTTTTGTGGTTTTATGTTGGCCGCTCTGTTAGGCACTGTTTAAGAACGTTGAATAGGTTTAATTTTAGGGCATATCTCCCAATCGTAAGCCCAGTTTTTGTTTGGTCCAGCGCAGGCTTCATAGACGAACGTACAAAGGTATGGGAGACCACTGGTCCCGGTGGGGTTCTGCCCTGCAATCCACACTTGGTATCCTACAAAAGTGTACACATTTGATAACTCGCATACTGTTATATTTTGCAAAATATTTGGGAACATCGGAATGGATTGACTTTATACATCTCGACGTTCTTTTTCATCGTATGATATCGTTTTGACAAACAAGAGTAACAATGTAAGGAAACAGGAACATCACCGAAAGTATATTTAATTTTTCACAAAATAGTTGCATAGAAGTGATGTTATCCTTACAGTGGCGGAAATTCACAATTACAGCTTTAACAATGTTAAAATCGACACATTAGCCACATTAACAACATGCTGGAAGACAGCGGACGCCAGGACCTCTTCGGAATACTAGCAAACTAAATGCAATTGTTGAGACCAATGAATTTTTTTAATTTTTTTTAATTGTTGCTCCCGCAGAGTAGTAATACAACAAAAGAGTAGTAATACAGCAACCTTAGAATTTGGTTTTGTACACGTTATTTAAAAGGCACAATAGTGACCACCACTGTCTATTAATAGAACCCTAGAGGATTTTGAGATTGTCCTTTTATAACGCAAAGTCAATCTATGCTAACAAGGCATATTAGAAACCCCGAAACAATATATTGGATTGCCTTTTTTCTTTTTTACTAAAAACGCGATCGATAGATTATGCCAGAAATGGGGCGTAACCTGATGTTTGGTCGCCATGGAATATGGCATTTTTATTTCTTTATTTTTCTGGTTGTGCTTTTAAAAAAGCGATTTAAAATGTGTTTAGTGTCATTTTAAGATATCGTTGGAATGGCTATCGTCATCTTAATACTCGAGCCTAAAATGAGCAGTTCCTAAGGCGAATGATACCAGAGCAAGCTTCCACCAGATTCGTGACATATCACATGGCCAAAAGTCCGTTCAATATGTGGACGATTGGCATTAGAAAGAAGAATAAAAAAATAAAATAGCGTGATCGCTGGATTGACTTTGGAGAAATAAAAAAACACTAGTAATCCTTCGAGGAATCAATAAGTTTGTTAGAGCGCTCATTTGAACGAAGTTTCAATGCCACGTTATGTTCATGTGAGGTTCTATACTCACCAAGTAATTTTGAATAGATAACTATACAAGTCTTGAAATTTGTATAAATTATTTCGCTTGTGTCGAATTTAAGTGTGTATTTATCATTTACTGAAAAAAAAGAAGAAACAAAAACGTCTGGGCGTAAATATAGTACACAAATGTTTGCACATTGATGTAGTTATATGGATGCCAAGTTAACTTTCAGGCACCTGAGAGGACACACGTACATCTAATGAACCTCTTTTTGTGCCGAACTTTGATAGGACCCAGAATTCACGCTGAAAGTTTGACTGACACAATAGGAGTTATTCAAACTGAAATGATGCAAGCTTTCTTACTTTTTATTACCATTACAAAACAGCACTTCATTCAATATATGTTTGGTTAATGTTATGCACAGTATGCCTTAACTTATGTACGTGTTCTTTAGGCTGGGGGTTCGATTTCACATTTTTTATTTTGATATTTCAACATCAATTCCAGAGGATTCTCACGTACGGGTGCTTATCATCGCCACGGATTTACCACGCGCTATGTCCTGTATGTTTTTTATTTTCTTTGCCCATTCTTTCTAAAAAAAAACCGTTGCCATCTTTTTGAATATTTAGGGGCACCGGTCGTAAATATTTTCTTTTTGCAGCAGTGTACTCAGCCCACAAACGCACAAAGGGACGGATATAGTGCATTTCTCGTCTCATTTTTTTCTTCTTGTTTTTGCGGTATCTACAATCTACGGGAGACACTTTAACCTCTGACCTGCATCAACATCAAGGAACTTCAAAAATAAATACGCATCGAATGTTTAAAATAATTGAACTATAAATCAATACTTTCGCTTCGCTGTAATCTCTGGCGCCTAAAGTGCGTTGCTAAGGCATTTTAATGAAACCTTTCACACTGGTAATTCGTACTCTATATGCCTGAAAATCCCTCTTACGTCATTGAATTTCCCCTGCATAATATTTTAAGCACTATTTGCACAAGTGTTGATTGGATTGCATTTAAACATTGTATTTTGAGGGAAAATACTTTTTTTAAACTTTCCCTTGTACCTTCAGGAGCCCTAAAACACATATGTTCAACATGTTGTGATATTCATCCTTTGCACGCGCCTTTGACTGTGCCAAGCGAAGCCCCAAAAAAAAGTATTTCAGCCGAGCAATGAAAGAAATCGCCGTACTCCCCTGCATAAGTTTACACATCAAAAATACGATTTTAATTAGTTTTAACTGGGTCCTCGGTAATGTAATTCATGTTCTTACCCCAGACATAATTTTTTCCATCAAATTTCAACGACCACTTTTGCAATATCTTTAGCTCCTGCCCCCATAATAAAGATACATAATATTCTCGACGATTCTAATAACGTTACATTCATTGCACGGACCTAGATGACAATGTTATTATTTTCACAATTATATTTTATGCCTTTGAATAAATCAGAGCGTCTTACATTTTCGCCCTCGATGCGTAATGTTAATTACAAAAGCGCTAAAGCGCAAAAGACAATGACAGAACAAAGTTACGAACAGGACAAGTACTTGTCCTGTTCGTATCTTTGTTCTGTGCTTGTCTTTTCCGATTTTGTGACTAAGATGTTTACACAACTAGCCCAACAGTTAGTTTTAATTATGTACCTTGCGTGATGTTTTTTTTTGTTATAGTTGTTTCTGTTTGTACACGATCTGTCAAGACATAGGTTGTGGGCATGCAACTATCTACCTTTATACCTTCGGCCTAACCATGGGCACTGACGGGACAAGTGCTTGACGTCTCTTATGGATGCATAGCCTCAAGCACCTTCTCATTGCCCTTCGTCGTACTAGAAGGTCAGGAGATGCCAAGGAGTTTTCAAAGGTAAGTTCACGCTGGAAGTGGTAGGGGTGAAAAGCCACCGTCCGCCCTTCTTGTTCACTCAGTGACCGTAAAATATCTCGCACTTACCGCTCATTAATCATATGTATGTACTACAGAAAGTAGGGTTCACATTGTGTTATTTACCCTTTTCTGGGTATCTCGTATAAAAAGCATCGTCGAAAACAAATGACTCATTCGTTTTATGTATGCCAACTTGTACTATGCCACTCAGTCTGAAAACAAAAATAAACAAAATCTGTGAAAAAAGACACACTTTCTAAGCGCTAGACCAGGGGTCCCCGAATGTTTTGACCAAGAAGCCTGATTGGAAACGTGTCGAAAAAAAAAGAGATATAATGTGGATGAATATGTATAGTTCTTTTAGAAATGTCAAATTTTGCTAATTATGAGATTACAAAATAATTGTGACCCAGAGAACTTACCACGTATAAATCAAAGCGCATAGAAACTTTGACATATTCACACGGGGCAGGAACAAATGAGAATGGTAGATCTGATGACTACAATATGTAAGAGTTATGACACGAGACACCAAACAGGATACACATAAGAGTGCGAAAAACTTTTGTCATATGTTACTCATACCTGAAGCAGGGGAACTACGAGATTTAATGCTGGGGGTGATAATGTGCACTAAATAATGCGGCGAGAGAACACGCGTTATGGTTGGTTAGAAGGGGAAGTGTGAGAATCGCTCACTTCATCCAGTGGCAGAAAATGGAAATGCTGCTCAACACGCAGCGTTAGCATCGATAAGGCCGTAGCAGTGCCACAACGGCACTCCGCCGCACCTTGTGAATACTAAAGAAGGAAGTGTCTTCATCGTTGACCACAATCGTGAAGTGCCGCATACTGAATCTTTCCCTGTTAGCCATAACGAAATTGGGCAGGGCACATTGAACTCGACGCTATAAAGACAGGCTACAGTGAAGCTACGGTGTGCTTGTGAAGCCCCTTTATTTACTTCTTTCACCTTCCCTGTAGTGCTGCAGGGTGGCGCTGCTATAAACTTATCGATAAAGCCCCTCTATGCTGGAAAAGTGGTGCTATTCATTGTTGTGGACATGCTCGAGACACGTTTCGCGCACCCCTTATGGGAAGAAGATGGCGTCTGAAATCTAGCTCTGTGCTGCCAACATTACTGGAGCGAGCTTGCTCCAGTAACATTGAGTGCTGCGCTGTGCCGCCATGATCTTCCCGAGGCCTGCACGTTGCACGTCTTTCGTGCATCGACGCACCTTGCGCTGCTTTTAAAATATGAAGGGGCTTTACTTATCGAAGGGTAAAATCCGCTAAAATCCTCCACAGCTCTTCATGCTGAATCACAGCGCGATCGTCACACTTCCCTCCTCTAGCTCACCTACCCGCGTTTTGATGCCGTTTCTCCGAATATTTCTGATATCTATATGTTCGCGCTTTTGTTGCCCGTCGCGGTGCCATTTTCTTACCACCGCTTATTTTTCCCGTCTGTAGCAACTAGGGTGCCTTTATGTGCGCTTCGCTTAGGGTGATAACCTCTCATAATTTTGTTCCGAACTGTTTTGTTCGTTTGTTTTGTCCTGAGCGCATGAAAGCTCGTCTGCCGGCACGAGTCATTTTTTTTATCCACTATACCTTTTTTTTTTTTCCAGGCAGAAAGTCCTGTCGGCACCTGGTACTATATAAGGAATGGCATAGCCCTAAACAGAAGCGCAGTGAGGCGCCCTAGTAGCAGCGGGCTTCGGGCCGTGCGCCACTAGAAAGACCTCGGCCGACCTCGCGGGCCGGCTGGGACGCCTTCGCGGGCCGAGTCTGGCTCGCGGGCCGGGGCTCGGAGACTTCTGCACTACGCGAACCGCTGTCATGCATCGTTTTCCTTTCTGTATCGCAGCATCTCAGAGATGTATTTACAAGAATAAACTTTTTGTTGCAGCCGTTCAGCATAAGAATGAGGGAGAACTTATTTACGGCAAGCTATGCGACGCCCTATTAGTGGCCGCTGTAGAAATTTCTCCGTGTTTCAATTCCCAAGAGAACTAATGTTGGGCGCATCGCTGTCGTCAACGAAGCTCAGTCAACGAATGACGACGTCAGAATACAGTATGGCTCCAAAACGCCATCTGATTGGACAAAATAAGCATTAAGTTTTGGATGTTCAGCTCGCTTGCGCGAAAGGCTTTTTCGAGAAAATCTGTATTTCTTTGTTCCGGCTCGTCACTTACTGGATTTGTCTTTACAAGTATCCTTGGTTAACTCACCACATAATGTGTGTTGAAAGATTCACTCGTAGGCATTTTGAAGTTAGTAAGCTAAAAAAAACAACAACAACAACATTCTGTGCCCAGGAGGCCCCCAATACTTGACCCTGATTAAATGCAATCTTGGCTACAATACTAAAGCGTTGTTTCTAAGATATTGTGTTAAATTGAGCCGTTTTAACAATAAAAACCTTATACGTAACAGTTATACAAATTATTATTGCCCCAGAGCGCACATCAATGGTTTAAATTACTCTATATTGTTATACATCGCTTAATGAGAAATTCTATATTTACGTACAGAGTACTATTGTCCCAAGTGAGTCCATAAACCAAAGAAGTAGTCCATGGCTTCGCGTAATCCTCTCTGCGGCTTATAGTACGCAAGCACCGTTGGCGGGATCCGATTTCCGATCTGTACGAATAATATGCCAGAAAGTATTGCTGTGTCGTGTTTCTGAGAATCTGTAAGAGGAGCACTCGGATTGGATGATCGTAGTCGATGCACTGACGCCTTACTCGTCATGATTTGATTTAGTGGCTCACTGCAGGAACTTCAATGAAATTTGAGAGTATCTGGGTTTCTGTTTTGTACTCCGTTTAGTTGCTCTAGGCTTGTAATATGCCGTTAATGTTAAATAACACACACACACACATATATATATATATATATAAAACTTAGAAGAAAAAAACCCTTAGTGAAAAACAGCAACAACGGACGATTTAATCTTCGACGTTTCGGCCGGAGTCCGGCCTTCGTCAGGAAGGCCGGACTCCGGCATATATATATATATATATATATATATATATATAGGGAGAGTGGGGTTAACCCATATAATAAATTCACTATGGAATTTGAAACAAAATTTGTTCTTTATTTTTGTTTGCAAACGCTACATTTTATTGTAGGATGTTCAAGGAGCGTTCCACAATACTTTCGAAGCCACTTTAGACGGTCCACAAAAATCGGGCTCTCAACATATCGCGCTGCGATTTGCTACAGAGGCGCGGCTAGGGGGTGGATGCTTGGAGTTGTAATAGCAGCAAATAAACTTGCAATGTTTAAGAAATAAAATGAAGAAACTGTTTCGGGCTATCTGCGGTGGCATCCGCAAGTGATGTCATGACCGTGCTTGCCTAGTTGTATGTACTGACGAAAGATGGCGCAACGTGGGAAACGGCGCTCTTAGAAAGTATACGGTTCCTCGACGATTATTTCCGTACCGAAAGTGGGGACTTAGGAGAAATTTAAATATCCGTCTTCCCCGTCAGCCTGGTTTTAATTGTGAATAAATTATCGCACTTTCAGAATTGTACATTTAAGAGGCGCGTGCCGGCATCATTAACACTTTGGAAAGATTCCTTGCTAAGCTCGGCTCTGGCGCACCCCACGTTCGACGCTTCCGACATCTGTCGGCGGCACATACAACTAGGCGAGCACGGCCATGACAGCGTCTGCGAATTCCGCCGCTGCGTTGCCGAAACAGTGTTTTTTTTTGAACGAGGTGTGTTTTTTAGTTGATATTTTCTCACCAAGCTTTCACCCCTCAGCTGCACATCTTTTGCAAATCGCAGCACGGTAAGTTGACAAACCGATTTTTGGGAACCATCTAAAGTGGGTCCAAAGCAGTGTTGTGCCCGTTACCAAAAATAAGTAACGAAATAGTGTTACTCGTTGGCTTGGAAAAAAGCTAAGGCGTTACAGAGCTCCGCTACTATTTTGCAAATGTAACGAAATACCGGTGTCGTTACTTGCCATGACTACCGGACATAACTTTTACGTTAGTTTGCCGTTACGTTTCCTCTCATTGTTAGTATATGACAGCTGCTTATAATAAACCGCCTCTATAAACTTCGCCAACAATACACATGTTCAGAGTAATTATTTATTTAGTTATTCATTTGTACTCTGCAGCGCCGGAGCATTACAACAGAGGAGTGGGGTACAGATCATATTTATACGTTGGAAACTCGAACAGCACAATCCAGCAACTAACAATATAAATAAACAGTTCAAAACAACACACAATAATACTATTTCAAAATTTCAATAACGGCATAAATACTAGGAAAGAAATTCACATTGTATTGATCAGGTTAATAAAATATTCACTGTCGGCAGGATGTGAAATGTACTTCCTCGGACAGGTAGCGCTAGGCGAGCGCGATTCAGAGAATTGAACCTTGCCATTAGCACCCTGCCTGGGAAGAAGAAACCGCTCTGAAAAGAACGACCGGATGCACGCAACGTAACGGACGCAAAATAGGCCTCTTCATGTAATCAAAGTTAATCCGGTAAAATAAACTTAATTTTATTCCTTCACAAACCAGCGTCGCATTTCCAATTAACGACACGTCAGCACGCTGCCACCGCGGACACACTTGTCTTGGTTCAAAGCGTTGGAACGTCAACGCTTCCAAACTTAGTGTTTATCTTTTGAGGTGTTGACAGAGCGAGAATTGCATTGTTTTCAAGAGAACGATGTGGCCAGCTGGAGTAGCTAGGGACGCTGAGGAAAAATCCTTCGAGCGGCTGCAGACTGTTGTCTTCTGAACGGATGTCTTTTTCCAGCGAGACGGCTGCTCAGGGTACGGCGACGGTGATCTTAGCAAGGACGAGGGGTTCGCAGCGATAATCTCGCGCCTTTTGGGCCCGGTCGTGAGAACGGTAAAGGTGTCTTCCGAAGGAGTTCGAAATGACGCCGCTTATACATAGCTTTGTTGTTTTTTTTTGCTACTTTTTCGTAGTGTACAGAATAAAAATTATTTTGTTTTCAAACAATCATGCGACCATTTTTAATCAAAAGTAACGAGTACCGGGTAACGTAATTTCATAGGAGATTCCCTAAAATAATAACGACACTACTTTACTCGTTAGTCATTTGGGTTTCTAACGAGTACGTTAGTACGCTAGTCAAGAAACTAACGCGTTACCAGTAACGTCGTTACTTGTAACGCGTTAGTTCCAACACTGGTCCAAAGCAATAGTGTACATGCTGTAGATATTCACAATTGAAAGTTTCCCAACTTCCAATTTTAAAACTCTTTTGAATGTATCTGTTAAAAGGAGACAGAACTATGTAGTAAAGTAAGAAATGAGAAAAGTAAGTGTTTGCTTTGTAATACAATACGTTCCTAAATCATGGTTATAACTTACTTTTATGACAACTTTACATTAGTTACAATTAAGAGACGTATTGCATTGACTGGTGAAATTGCGTTTTTGAATGAATAATAAACTTGCTGCTGTTTCCAATCGAAAAACAAAGTAGGAAAATTCTGGAAACTCGCAGATACTTTTCGATCCCTCTTGACTTAACTTACTGTGAAAAACAACAGCAACAACAGCAACAACAACAATAGAAATATGACAAACAATCTTTGAATATTGATCGCACTCACCCTCCAGGCGTCTGGATACCTCCCTAAACGTTGGGCAAAGTGTTCTTTCCGACATTTTCCCCTTACACCTGCAGTCAGAACAAATACGAGACCCAAGATATACAGAAGGACGGAAATCTTCATCTCTGCTTTTGTTCTTAAAGGCAGAGTATCCGAGATCAAGACTAGTATTGCGTGCTACGAGCAAAGAACTGTACGCTGTTCTCAATTTTTTTTAGGTGAATTTTGATTTTCATCGAGTGATGACGCTAAGCTTGAATTCAATGTTCGTTCTTTTTTTCTCTAGATTGAGCGAGTTCAGAATGTTGCGAAAGCAAGAATTGCGCCGTCTTTTTTGACAGCTGTGCCCTTTAGTTCCAGTTTTTGTTGTGTTGAACTTTACCTGCCTCGCTGATGGCATATATGGAAACAATACATACATTGCGTACCAATGCAACACAAACACGTACAAAGTACGCACCCCATAAAAGACAAACAAATTTGAAAATGGTTAAAAACAGGTTAAAACAACATCAGGTACAAAAAACAACCTAGTGCATTTCTGATATTATTGTCTCAAGTTCAAGTCAACAAATTGCTTCATCAATGCTATTCCAACTATCGATAATCCCCAGAAAAAACGAAAAACTATTGAGGTGACACGTATACAATACAATATATATATCATGGGTGCTACGAGTCCATGATTGAGTAATGAAAGCGATACATTTTTTTTTTACAAATAACTATGCAGTTCTTATTTACCATTTTGTGTAGCAGCTTTAGTCGTTCTACAACACGTTTGTAGCGCTGTGCCTCTGTCTTCTCGTTTCGCTTTCAAAATATAACTAACTTATGGCTTCAAGTACAATGTCAGGCATCGACGATGTAGAAAAGAACGTGCGACTATATCGAATAAAAATAAATATGTTTGGCTCAACTTGTATTGCGTAAAGAAGCTTGATATCTCCCTTTAAAAACGGGTCCCAGGCCAGGCAGTTGTTTGTTTATTGTTTACGGTTTTAATGGCGCAAGAACATCAATGGCCATACTGCGCCAAACAAGGTAAGTCAATAAAAAGGGGTGAGTAGAATTAAACTATGGGGGAATAGTTCTATAGTTTGTTTAAAAATCCGGTATTTTCAATGAAATCAAAAAGACGTTTGAATGAGATCAGTAGTTGCTCACCAAGTAGCAAGGCAGGGTGACATGGAATGCGATGCTTGAAAAGATTAGGAAAAAAGAATTTGTGCTGCTGCCGAAGACCAGGACAAATAAATAAAATATGAAGAACACTCAAAGGTTCACCACAGTGCTCACAGCATGGAGGTTCCTCACCAGTAAGCAGGTAGCCATGAATGAGGTATTTGTGGCCGATTCTCAGGCGGCATAAGAGGACCTCGTGGAATCTATTTTTATCGTAAGATGTTTCCCAGGCACCAAGGTCTGGCTTGATGGTGTGAAGCTCATTGTTAACCTCTACATACCACTCGGACTACCACGATTGCAAGGCTGGAAGTCTTGTAGGCATTTTTAAGTCTTGGTGGGGGATGCGGATATGTGACACGGGAAGATTTTGCGAACAGGCGGCCAGTTTATCTGCAGCCTCGTTGCCTGCAATGCCCACATTGCTAGGAATCCAGCAAAACCTAATGTCGTGGCCATCCTCTAGGCTCTGCTGCACCTTAACACGCACAGTTAGGGTCAGCCGATTCTTTGTTGATAAAACAGAACATACAGCCCTAACAGCACTCTGGGAATCTACAAAGATGATGACTTTATTTTACTCTGAACTATACAGTCAAGCGCCATCATGACCCCATATAGCTCGGCAGTAAAAATACTGGCAAGAGTGTTTCGACGAGTGACTTTGGAAAAAAGAGAAGAGTATACAGCCGCACCAACATACAGTGACGACTTTGCACCAGCAGTGTAAAAATGATTGTAATCTTTGTATTTTTCCTCCAATGCGAAGAATTCCTGCTGTAAAGTTAAAGGTGAGACTCTTTGCTTCCAGAATTTTGTGAACCACCAGTCACAAAAAATGGGTTTGACATTCCATGGGGCAGTATGGTATGAACCATTCAAGAGGTTAAAATCGTGAGCAAGATTTAGGGAGGAGCGAAGACTCTCGACACGAAGGCTCAAAGGCCGCACAACAGTTGGCTTATGGTTAAGGAGGCGCGAAAACCTAGTTTTGAATACAACTATAAGCGGGGGAGCTGGGTCCGACAAAAGTTTGTAAGCATAGGTGAGGCTAAGCAGCTGTCGCCTTTTTTCAAGCGACATTTCATGACAGTCAACATACAAGCTGAGCACGGGGAAGGTTCGAAAAACACCAGATGCCAAACGGAGCCCAAGGTGGTGTACAGAATCGAGCATTTTTAAGGCAGATGGTCTCGCGGAGGCGTAGACAATTGAACCATAGTCAAGGCGGAATCGAATGAGAGAAGAATATAGACGAAGGAGACACTTCTTATACGAGCCCCACGACTTGTGCTAATGGACTTTGAGTATGTTTGATGCCTGCAGAGTTTTTTGCTTGAGGTGTTTGAGATACGGAACAAAAGTAAGTTTACGGTCGAAAGTAACTCCTACAAATTTATGCTTTGTTTTCACAGCAATGTTGTTTCCATTTAAAAGAAGAGTAGGATCTAAAGACAGGCCACGCCTTAAAGAAAAGGGAACGCAAACAGTTTTCTCCGGAGAGAACCTAAAACCATTCTCATCAGCCCATTTATTCATTTTATTTATGGCCAGTTGTAGCTGTCGCTCGCAGCTAGACATATTACATGACGCTACAGATATCTGAATGTCATCGACATATAGCGAGCAAGATACTGAAGGAGGAATGACTTTACTAATAGAGTTAATTTTTATTGCAAAGAGTGTGACGCTTAGGACTCCACCTTGAGGAACACCATTTTCTTGAACGAACCAGTCTGATAAGGTTGTTCCCAATCGAACTCGAAAAGTGCGGTTACACAAGAAGCTCTTTTTGCACTGAAGCATTCTACCGCGTATTCCGTACATAGAAAGGTCACGCAAGATGCCATACCTCCAAGTGGTATCATAGGCCTTGTCCAAATAAAATAAAACAGATACACAATGCTGCCTGTTGACGAATACCTCACGCACGAAGGTCTCCAGCCGCACTAACTGGTCTACTGTAGAGCGTTCAGGCCGACATCCGCACTGACGGATATCCAATATAGTATGCTGCTCGAGAAAATAAATAAGACGCCTGTTAATTAATCTTTCAAAGGTTTTCCCCAGACAACTTGACAATGCTATTGGTCTGCAACTTGCAGGGAGGGAAGGGTCCTTGTCAGGTTTCAATAACGGTATAACTTCAACCCGCTTCCATTCGACAGGGAAGTAGGCATCACACCACAGGCCATTGAAGTACGTGAGAAGAGCACTGAGTGACTCTCTAGATAAGTGTCGGATCATGTCATAGTGAATTCCATCAAGACCGGGGGCTGAATTCTTGCAGGAGTTCAGAGCCGCTTCAAGCTCAACCATTGTCAATGGCTGATTCTAGGGCGCGGACGCTCCTGCTGTGACGCAGAGCCTCGTCTTTTCCATGCTTGCCTTACGCTTCAGGTTTACTGGAGATTAATGTGCGGAGTTTGAAACAGCAGCAAAGTGAGTGCCCAACACGTTAGCCTGGTCAGGCAATGAGGCTCCAAAAGAAGGAGAAATTCCTTTAGCTTGCTTCCGAGTCCAGCGCGCACAAGCTCTGCGTCTCTTGAATCACTTAAAGTTCACAGACAAAGGGTAGCTGCGAAAAACATCCCAAGCCTTATCTTGGTTCTTTTTTTAGGTGAAACAATCCTCATTCCACCATGGCTTACATTTCTTGGGGATGTTTGAAGAAGTTTGAGGGATGGAGCAAAGAGCAGCACCAATTGTATGCTCTGTAATGTTGGCTGTGGCTTCGTCATGAGTTAACGAAGAGAACATAGACGTAACAAGCTCGGATTTTGGGCTAAAAAGAGCCCAGTCTGCTTTTTCTAGCTTCCAACGCGGAGTCTGTTTCATGAGACTGGGAATAGATTTTACACTCTCCAGAGTAATCGGAAAGTGGTCGCTGCCGAAAGGAATATTTAAAACGCTCCATGTGAGACAAGACACCAGGGATGGAGATGAAATGGAAAGATCAATGGACGTAAATGAGTTGTGAGCCGCACTAAAAAAGGTAGATTCTCTGCTGTTCAAAAGATAGAGACTAGACGACAGTAAAAACCGTTCAATAACCCCCCCACGCGAGTCCTCGCGTGTGCCACCCCACAAGAGATGGTGGGCATTAAAATCTCCAAAAAGTTAAAAAGGGGTGAGGGAGCTGAGTAACTAAATCATAAAGATCATGAATATGCAGTGGAGAGTTTGGTGGAATATAAATGGCAACAATGGTGATAAAGCGGCCCAAGAGGAGGCGTACAGCTACAGCCTCAAGGGGTGTAGGAAGAGGAATCTGAGAACAAGCAAATCCACTTTGGACGATCACCGCTACTCCACCGGATGAGTTTGATGTGGAACAATCCTTTCTAAAAACTTGGTGACGACGTAAAACAGATGGTGATCATTAAGGTGTTTCTCTTGTAAAGAGAGAGCTAGTAGTACAGAAGACTTTCATAAAAAAGTTAACATCGTCAATATTATGTAGACGGCCGCGGCAATTCCACTGCATAAAAGTAAATTTAGCCATGATTCTAAAACAAAGTTCAAAGATTAGTAAATCAGTAAAAGTAGTAAGATATGGGTAAAAGTAAAGACCTAAACTCTGCCGCGCAGGGCAAAAAGAATGTACAACAGTTTTAGAAGTCTGCCACTCCATGTCGTCTTGCTCAGACGGATGAGTGCAGACTTCTGTACCCTCTGCTTCCTGGAGCGAGGTCTTTGCTGCAGGTTTGGGCAGGCTTGGAGAATGGGGCGCCATGCCCCGTCCACCACCAGACCCCACCAAAAACGCGGACGAGGTGCTTGGCGTAGTGTCGCCCGAGTTCACCCGTTCCTGCCCCAGGCGCTGCAGGAGCGGCACGAGAGTTATGCCGCTCCTTCGATGATGCTCTCTCCAGGGAGTGTGGGCGAGAGTGTCGACCCTTCTCCCTGGAAGGAGATCGCGGAGGAGGGACGGTTGC